TTATAGTAGGTACTTAGTAGGTATCTGGGCCCCCAAAGTATATACTATACTACGGCTGATGGACAAAATCCTGCATGACCTTATATACCTAAACTATGGGGTTTATGGTACTATACTATATTCGGGTCATGCAGGATTTTGTCCATCAACAGTAGTACTTGGACTCTTTGGGAGAAAGACGGCAGTCGTAGTGGCAATGCACGCGGAGGCGGCAGTGGGGCGACGAGTTCACTACAGATCGCTGCACCCCCGGCCCTAAACCTTCAGCAGTAAACCCTAACCCCTAAACCCTAAACCCTAAACCCTAAACCCTAACGCCTAAACCCTAAACCCTAAACCCTAAACCCCTAAACCCTAATACAGAAGCCTGAACACTTACTACTAGCTACTATTCCCTAGCGCTCCGGACATCTACTCTATACCGTTTGCACCCCAACAACCTCTTCTAGTTCTTCGGGGCGCTATGCTATTGAAAGAACCCTTGTTCAATGTCCCTAAACCGTGTAGTGATTATAAGGCCCGTTGAGCACACCGAGAAGATTTCAAGGTACCATCAGAAACGCCCACTAAGGAGCGGATGGCCTGGGAGCTTTGCTGAGCGATGAGGTCCGGCACACTGATTTGGGTTTACGGTTTAGGGCTTATGGTGTTTATAGGGTCTACATACTGGATTCAGGGTATAGGCATTGGGTTTACTTGTGGCCACATTTTACAGAATAGCAGAGTATTACTCCGTCACTACAGGGTATAACCGGCGAAACAGTAGGTAATTGGAACAGGTGGTTGGGCTCCCAGAGCCCCGAGAGGATCTGCAAAGTAGATCCCCTAATTTGGGACCCTATACTCCTTAGGGATACTTTATCGGAACCCCCTTAAGGGATCTACTTGTTGGGTCGTTCCGGGCGTCTGGGTGAGAGTCCCAGGCCTCTTTAGGGTTTAGGGTTTAGTCCAAGATACACCAATTCAGGCAGATACTCTTTACCCAAGCCAGAAGAGTAGTTCCTACTATAGAACTTGTATCTTCTACTATGGAGGTAATGTTGGAGCCTAAATAATTACTTGTACTATTTTGGGCCGGAATGTCCCGCCCAGCGACATCATCGAGCAGCTGCTAGAACTGAAACCAAGAGTTGCGCCTGAACGTGCGAGACAGGTGCTAGCTCGACACCGACTGGATCACAAAGCGCTTCGCTCGACGATGCAAGAGCTGAAGAACCAAAACCGCTTCGACCTGGTGGGCGTAGTACTTTCTGAGGCTCTCGAAGCCGGCGGTGCAAAGGTCAGCCCGAGAGAATTCACCACGGGTATCAGCGCGTGTGCAACGGCGAGAAACTGGCAGTTAGCTGTGCAACTCTTTGACTTGATGCACAAAGCCAGAGTTGCTGCTAATGCTTACTGTCACAACGCCACCATCAGCGCTTGTGAGAAGGGTGGGCAGTGGCAGCTTGCGGTGCATCTGTTCGACAGCATGCGCAAGGCCATGGTGGATGCCGATGTTATCAGCTACAATGCCACCATCAGCGCTTGTGAGAAGGATGGGCAGTGGCAGCAAGCCATGCAGCTGTTCGGAAGCATGCTCAAAGCCAAGGTGGATGCCGATGTCATCAGCTATAGTGCCACCATCAGTGCTTGCGAGAAGGATGGGCAGTGGCAGCAAGCCATGCACTTGTTCGCAAGCATGCGCCAATCCCAAGTTGCTGCCAATGCTTACAGTTACAATGCCAGCATCAGCGCCTGTGAGAAGGGTGGGCAGTGGCAGCTCGCGGTACATCTGTTCGGCATCATGTGCAAAGCAAGAGTGGATGCCGTTGTCATCAGCTACAATGCCACCATCAGCGCTTGTGAGAAGGATGGGCAGTGGCAGCAAGCCATGCAGCTGTTCGGAAGCATGCTCAAAGCCAAGGTGGATGCCGATGTCATCAGCTATAGTGCCACCATCAGTGCTTGCGGGAAGGATGGGCAGTGGCAGCAAGCCATGCACTTGTTCGCAAGCATGCGCAAATCCCAAGTTGCGGCCAATGCTTACAGTTACAATGCCAGCATCAGTGCCTGTGAGAAGGGTGGGCAGTGGCAGCTCGCGGTGCATCTGTTCGACAGCATGTGCAAAGCCAGGGTGGATGCCGATGTCATCAGCTACAATGCCACCATCAGCGCTTGTGAGAAGGATGGGCAGTGGCAGCAAGCCATGCAGCTGTTCGGCCACATGCGCACAGCCAAGGTGACTGCCAATGTTTACAGTTACAATGCCACCATCAGCGCTTGTGAGAAGGCTGGGCAGTGGCACCTAGCCACGATACTGTTCGACAGCATGTTCAAAGCCAAGGTGCATGGGGATGTCATCAGCTACAATGCTACCATCAGTGCCTATGAGAAGGGTGGGCAGTGGCAGCTCGCGGTGCATCTGTTCGACAGCATGTGCAAAGCCAGGGTGGATGCCGATGTCATCAGCTACAATGCCACCATAAGAGCTTGTGAAAAGGGAGGGTGGTGGCAGCAATCA